TTAACTTCCCACACATTATTCACAGTAACAGAAAAAATGATTATAAATTTATATGCAATCACAAAACATTCCAAATAGATAAAACAATCTTGAGAAAGAAAAACAAGTTAGAGACATCACAATACTCAATTTCAAATTGTATTTCAGGGCTAGAGGTGTGTTCAAGAGTAAAGCACCTGCCACCTAAGCACAAAGCCCTGAGTTCAAATTCTAGTCCCACAAAAAGAAATATTCAAATTGTATTTCAAAGTTATAGCTGGAGGGTGCAAAGGAGGGTGAATATGGTCAATGTACTATATACTTATATGAAAATAGAACAATAAAACCTGTTCAAATCATTTTAAGTAGGGGGACAGGGTGTGAGGGAGAATGATGGTGTGGTGAACCTAACCAAGGTACATTGTAAGCATATGGAAATGCCACAATGAAACCCCCCTGTACAACTAATACATGCTAATGAAAATGTTTTGTAAAAATTATAGCAAGCAACATAGTATACTATAATGTGTCTATGGCTACAGTACATAGACAAGTGTCTATGTACATCTATATGTTTATAGTGTATTATATGCATCTGCTAAAACAGACCCACAGACTAATGCAACAGAATAGAGAGCCCTGAAGTAAATCAAGCATACAAGTCAACTAATTTTTGACAAGTTCACCAAGAAGAGAAAATAGATAATGGGCAGTCTCTTTAATAAATGGTGCTCAGAAATTGGATATCCACAGACAAAAAAAAGAAATTGGGCCCTTATATTACACCATATACAAACCTCAACTTGAAATTGATTAAAGACCTAAATGCACAACCTAAAACCACACAGTAAACAGTGAAGGGTAACCAGACAAAAGAAATTTTAAAAAATGTATGCACATTTGGTTGTAAATATTTAAAACACATCTGGAAGGCTACATAAGAAGATGTATGCCTCTAGACAAGTGAATTGGAGGCCCAAGGAAAAGAGAAACTTTACCTCCTTATTCTTTTTCAATTTAAAATCATTTGAATGTAATTTTTCTAAAAATCCAATTTTAAAATTTGAGGAACACATATTAACAAGCCTGGAGAGAAAGCAATCATGTGTCATTCCCTCTGCCATCTCTCCAATTGTTCCTGAGGATGACTGCCCTTATAATCTGGCCTACGAGAGCCTAGGTGACTTCCAATTGCCATACCTCCAAACAACCCTTATTCTGTGATGAACTATTCTGAGGACCAGCAATTGAGACGAAGGCATGACATGGTGTTTCTGCTTTTCTTTTTATTCCCCCTTGCACTAAGAGGGTTTCCAGATCCCAGCAGGTTAAGAAATAGAAAGAAGTGTCCTCTTATTTCATGCAGAATTTGTTTCTGGTACACTATGGTTATAATTTGTTTATTCTCTCCCTGCCACCCCAGTCCTGTTTCAAATCCCAGTACCATAAAAAAAAAAAAAAGAAAGTACTTGTAAGAGTTAAAAATCTATAGAAACATTTTATTTTGATGTTACTGGGGTTTGAACTCATGGCATTATGCTTGCTAGGCAGGCGCTCTTCTGCCACACCTCCACGTGTCCTGGACTGAGATCCTCCTATTTATGCTTCCTGCAGTAGCTGGGATGACAGGATCCCATGAACTTTTTGCATGGGCTCACCTCAAACCACGATCCTCTCAATCTCAGCCTCTTGAGTAGCTAAAATGACAGGCATGAACCACTGGCACCCAATGAAAGCAACGTACCCCCCAACCCCCGGCCAAAAAAAATCACAAGTATTGTTGCAATATTCTAGGAGCATCACAAGTTAATTTGGATTTCTAATTCTGACAGCTTCAAGTGGAAACTGCACAGTTGGAGATCATTTTTAGTCAATAAAACTTTGCAAACTTCAATTTTAAAATCACCCAGCCTCACCCTAATATACTGTATTTTTTAATAAAGTAACCTGTCAGATATAACTTTATAATACAGAGGAAAAGTCTTCACATTCACTCATTGCAATTTTTCTACAGCTTCCAAAATGAAGAAAAGAGTTCGGGAACATTCAGTGCAGAGTGACTCCGGCAGGCGATTCCCTGCCCTGGCACTCCATTTAATGAGCACAGGCATAATTCCTTTCACAGATTTGAAAGGAACTTATAGCACATGTACAATCAGCAGTGTGGGACATTGTGCAGTTCTCTCAGACACAGAAAACAGCTAGTGGTGAAACCACAGTTTAGCACCACTATTCTAATGGCTGGGAATTCCACGTCTGAGAAGCCCACAACCAGGAATCTCATCAGTATAACTCCCAATGGGGTTCTAGCACAGGCGTCTTACAAATAAGAAGACTAAGCATCAGACAAGTGGCCTAAAAACACTTGGAGCAGGCTTGTCCATCCACTGCTCCATCAGGCTTCACAAACAGTGCTAAGCCATATCAGCTCCTTAGTCCAGCAGTCTAAAATATGGCAAATTTTAGGTCTAAAATAAAGCAGCAAAACAGGGCAATTTTATTAGAAGACTTCAGTATAACAATGAAAGCGAGTGATGACTAGACACTTTTCATTTTTTTTTTACTACATAAACATGCTTAGAAACCATATTTTAAGCATATATGTGTATAAATATTAATATAAACATATAAATTCTCTCCATGGGACAGCAAATGTAGTAATACTAAATTTTAAAAATGGATTTTTATTTAGCAACAGAGAAAAGCACAAATATTCTTCAAATTACATGCATTTATCTTGCTCATAGAGAAAGTACTTCTCTTTTCACAAAGAACTGAAATCCTGAGATCCAAATGAGCAAGAGGGAACAGTCAGAAAAATACTATACATTCCATTCCTGAAATCCTAAAACTGTCTTTACTAGCACTATGCATATACAACACAGTGAACAACCACCACTTTCCCCAGTCAGCAAAAATAAGGACAGATGCAGCAAGTCAAAGGCAGGCTGCTTTACCACATAAAAAGCAAGGGTATGTTTTGAACTGACCCCATTACTCAAACAAGAGTGAGGGAATAAATTTGTTCCATAGAACAGTGTCACACAGAAAACCTCCCATGGTCTTTTCACTATTTTGTCTTGCTTTAAGAGTCTACATTCTCACATTAATTATTATTCTGTTATTTGGGAAATTATATTATTCGAGAAACGTTTCCCATTTTGTAAAATACAGTATTTCCCAAATTTAAGTGACTATGGACGAAACCCTTTGCTCCTCAAGACTGACTTCTCCAGTAAACTCTGGCTGAATCAACTCCTCCTATATCTATAGACTATCTGTTCTCAACCACAAACCACATTAACATCAAAATCAAATTCTGCTCAACAGTATTTGACAACCACTTTATACATAATCACCACAGACCAAAAATACTGTAAAAGAAACATGAGAAATTAAGTGCAAAGTTATCAGGAATTTATAAAAAAACTTACTGTTTCCAGGCCACAATTCTCTGTCGCCTGGTCAACTGGCATAGCCTCCTGACTGATCCACGGGACACAGCTCTACACCTAAGAGTACATTCACATCCCAGCAGAGTGACCCCCTAAAATATAAAGGAGAATGTGCCCTTCTCTCCTGAGAATCTCTGTGCTCCCCATCTCATCCTGGTCAGGAAGAACTCCCTAGGCATCACCTTGCAGCCCTGTATCATCGACTGGGCCATTGTCTGTCCTCTCTTCACATCTTTGATCTTATCATCTCCTACTGCCCCATCAGTTCATTCTTATGGACACATTAGTCTTTACAGCATTCCTCAAACATGCTGGGCACGGCCTCTCCCACAGCCTTTGCCCTGGCAATCCGGTTGTCTGGGATATTCTGCCTTCAGTTAATCAAACAGTCACAGACATTCTTCAACTCATTTGAGCCCGACATACTACTATCTGTACGCCCAACTCTAGCTTAATTCTGATTAATACTTGACAAATACATTATAATTAACTGATTTAATGTCATGTGTTGGTTTTTTGTTTTTTGCTTTTTAAAAACTACTCTTGTCTTCTAAAATTAAACTCCAAGTTCTGGGAGCAAGGAACCTTACCTACTTTGTTCACTGATGTAACTTCCAGTATCTGCCATACAATATGAATTCAAACAATACTGAACGATAAAACGTAGAACGAAAGTAATTACTTCATTTTCGAATTGGTTGAAAAAGATAACAATAACCCTAAAATTATCCTACAGTGATCTTGTTTGGAGATAAGCAAAAAATATAACTCATAATGAATTTAATATTGCTAATAAAATTATTTTGTTACCTGAAGAGTTTGGTTAGAAAAGCCTTGATATTTACTATTTATAAATGAATGGCTATGATGAATATAAATTTGTATGAGCATAATTTATGTTTGAAATATTATTAACAACCCTTCCATTTCTACAATGCACAGACTGAGTTCTACTGTACTTTAAACAAGGCTTAAAGTATCTGAAAGGACTTATGCTGATAATCTGGCAAACTAAAGTCAAGCCCTCTGCATCTCCCCACCTTGTGCGTATCACAGACATGGTACTCTTGGAGATTTCTATGTGGTAAGTGTTGCAAAGAGGATCCATGAATGCCAAAGAACCTGAAAAGGTAAGGTCTAAGAAGACTACTCACTTAGAAAAGGCAAATGTCACACCAAGGATTAGTGAAATTAGAATGTTTTACCATTATAAATCATACATATTTCCAAAGTTCTCTATTTTTTTCTTTCTAGCAATTCTGATATTTTTAGCCTTGCACTCGGAGGAAGATGGAGTTATTTTTTAAATATGGTCTTACTTTTTTTTTCCCTCCTATTCATGACTCCTGCATAGCTGGGATGACAGGAGCACACCACTATGCCCAGCTTTATTGGCTGAGGTGGGATCTTACTAACTCTTTGCTTGGGTTAGCTTTGAACCGCAATCCTCCTGACCTCTACCTCCCAAGTAGCTAGTGTTACAGGCATGAGACTGCACCTGGCTCAAAAGTTATTTTATACAGTAATTCTTGCACATGTATTCCAAGGGAAATAAGTCAGTATTACCTCGACTATCATCCATTTCACCATCCCTTGAATGCTCTGACTGAATGTCTGGAGGGGTCTGAAGGACAGCCACACTATTCTGATTTATAATCTTCAATTTCAATTTTGGTTTTGACCGTTTTCTTCTTGGAACTGTTACTGTGAGGCTCTGTAACTGAGTCATCCCTGATTCAGTCAAACACACACCATCCTGGGTATAGGTCTTAGGTGGATCTAAAATTACAAAATCCCAAAAAAACAAATTGAAAGTCTCATTTTAAATTTGACTGATAAATTGACTAGAGTTTGAAAATAATATTAAAGGAATGTAACTACAGTTCCGTACAGACACTATCTATGAAACGCACAAATAATTAACTTAATGATGCTCAATTAAAGCTGAGAATGATTAGGCAGAGAGGTTGTACTTTTTTAAAAAATGGTCTTCCTGGCATTTGGATCATAAAAGGATTTGGGGGGGAGGTGGTAACACTGAAACTAAAAGCATGCTTCAGCCACTCAACTATGAGCCTTTGCCTAGAAAGGATCAAAAGCTAAGGATCAATTTATAAAAGACAAACAATACTCCAAAAGCCCATTTGAGAACCAAAGTATCAACAGGCTTGTGTACAGAGAGAGGTAGTAAATGTGTAAAAATCCTACAGTCTCAATTTTTTAATCTGGAAAACTGCTGTTCATGAGACCAATTCCTTACCACCCAGATGTTGTATCAGATGTTATTAAATATAAGTATTTGAATGAAGGACTGTTTCATAAAAGTAGCATACATGTCACCATCCTAGGCTATTGATTACAGAAGAAAATAGTAAGACACTGAATTAATTCAAAAGGAATCTATTTGTTAATGAGGCTTTCTTTCTTCTGATAACTAAGCACAGAAAGAAAGCCACAGCAAGCACAACACTGCCAGCTGTTCTAAGAGCTGCCATTTTCATTGAAGCTAGGTAAGACGAACATTTTGTATATTAATTATAGGAACTATTAACATCAGAGATTTACATGAAACACCTATATGATCAAGGCAAGTTTTATATAATATGTGGTAAGCCAGTTACATAAGAATTAAGTATTTGTATGTTTTTTCTAAAGAACAATCAATAAATCATTTCAAATTTTACCTAGCTCTTTAACTTTTGTGACAATTTGTGCTACAAGTGAAGATTCACAGCAGTCTGAAGAAGGCACTGAAATGAAAAAAATTCAGGTAATTTTTCCAGAAAAAAATTAAAGACTTACATACCCACTAACAACCTATCACAACACACTGTTACGGGAAATAAATGTTTGAATACCAGTGTCAATGTCAAAGCAGTTTTTAAAACAAGAACAAAATATAACAAGTGGAAGTAGAGAGGAAATATGCAAGAAAAGAAAAACTGACAAAGAATCAGTGGATTTCTACATATGCTTAATTAATAATAACTACAAGAGATCATGTCCCTTGAAAGCAAAATCTTATTTTAATATTTAAAGTACATACTTGATTTTGTCCTTTTATGTAAGTTGTTTCAATAAAAACCATGGTGTGAAGACCACTGGTGTATGATTTTTATTTCAATACAAAACTTGATTTTCATAAAATACTTGTCTAAAATAATAGGTTCACAATCACTAAAGTTGAACCCACTCATTGGTTTACGGAAAGCAAGGTATGAGTGATGGTAGGACAGCACAGATTCACAGGAAATGATTCTCTTACCATTTGATGCAGGCAATATAGGGTCTGCACATGCTACAATCAAAACCAATGTCGGCTACATTTTCCACTTCGTCCTCAGTATTTAAGTTTTGACAAACTGCATGCATCCATCTAAAAAGACCATATTTTTATACATTTAAAAACAACTGAATACACTGAGAATTGGTCTTTTAAAAAAAACATAGGAGTTGACATCCACTTCAAACTTTAAAGGTCCCCAAGCCCTAACGCTCTACTATAACCACAATAGATTCTTCTTAACTAACTTCTAAGACGGTCACAGAACTTCAAGAGAGCTGAGAACTCAGAAACAAACAAACAAAAAGGAATGAAAACAAGTACTAAGGAGAAAGCAACACACAACAACACACACCCAAATTCCACACTACACAGAATTATTACAGACAGCAATGAAACTAATCAGGGCAAGAAGGAAGGACTTCAGGCACCTCAGAAGCAGATGTAACTTATCTAACGTAATGTTGAATGATAACTAGGAAATAAAGTGAACAACTGTATCTCACACACTACAATGAGTTTTGTATGCAAGTTTCTGAATAGGATCCTGCATGACTAATGAAGTAACACTGTTAAAGGTATTACACGTAGAGCGCTTTACTCAACGAGGCCACTATATGCTAGCATGAAGAGCAGCCCACACAGACACACGAAGAGCCACAGCCACCACACCGCCACGCAAGAGAAAAAAGAGAAAGAGAAAAAAAAAATGCACACAACGGAGACCGTGGATGCGGACCACGGGGCACACACACACACGACCACACCCA